AAGTGTCAGTTTATAACATTGCACGAATGTAAGTAATGCCAGACTTATCTGCGATAAAAGCCACCCACGCTTTCCAATATCAAATGTCTTTTTATCCCTATTTATCTGGTCGTGCAGTTAATTAACGCTGGTTGTCCCTTCATTAGCGACAAAGCCGAAGCTTTAAACTTGTTTCTTGTTTGTACGATAAAAATATTCCGTTTTTATAATTCTGATAACGAACGTATAACTCATTCAAGAAATTGTCACTCGCGTGTTCATTTTTATTTTCAATTAATTCAATTAAATTTCATGCACGCGCACGAGTTGCATGCCGCAAATGACAAATTATACTATAGAATAAGATTCCATACAAATTAAATAAAGTTTGAAAGTTTAAAATACAAAGTACGTATATTCAACATTAAAGCAGATATAATTATTTATTTTCATAATTTTTTTAAATTTTATAAATTTTAATTATTGACAAAAAATGCAAATGTAATTGCACGATTTATTTGAATTTTTTCCTTCCTACACTGAAAAAAAATTTGTTAATTTGAGTAAGCCTTTCAACTAAATATATTTCATTAATTGAACACATCAAAATATTGTAATTAAATATAATATATTAAGTTTAACAAAATGTATATTTGACTTAAATACTAATATATATTTAATTAATAAAATAGTAATTTAGTTGAAAAATTTAATTAAGTTAACAATTTTTTTCAGTGTATTTATAATTCTTTTCTTCTTTTTCATTTTTTCTAAAAATATCTATAATAGCACTTTTTAGAATATCGTATCAAAGACCCATTTCTTGAACCCTAGCGTGCAGTACGTTATTTCTACCTTGCTATCCACTCTATGTTGCTAACTTCCTTACTAACTTCCTTGAATTAGGGTTGGATTAAACCAGCACTGGATAAGACAAAAAATAAAAATGCGTTTCCCATTTCTTTATTATTTTTTTAAAATTTACCCTTAATTAATTTTTATATATATTTCTTTTTTCCGTATTTGCAATTTCTCTGTAATTTTACAGAATGTAATTTCCGTCACTTTTTATTATATTTCTTACTTCTGATTGCTACATTATAACACGTGTGAAAGTTTTCCGGGGAAAATGTATTTCAACTGACAGAAAGTCTCTTAGCAAGCTTATCGTCGTGTATCCGTATCTTAATTAGGACGGCGGCATAGAAAATGCATTACGTTGTATTACGGATGTAACTAGGCCGAAATGCAAGAATACATTTGTAACTTGCATTTGTTGCTAACACGTAATAAAGCATGAACCAGCTATATTGGAGCTCTACAGTGAAATTTGAAATAATGTTTTCTTTTATCAAGATTAAATTAAATGTAATAATTTCGAGTAATTTAAAAAGTCAGACTAAAGAAAAATATAATAAAGAGAACAGTAATAAAGAAAAGTGAAAATGTAATGTACGATTGGACATCCCGCCCGAAGGTTGCAAGAGGATAAGAACATGCATGGTAAAACATGGCATAGGCTTCTTATCTCGAGAGCTGGTGGCTAATGCAACGAAATAATGAATCAGGAGATTATCTACGCTCGTAGGGCGTGCCATGTGTGAGGGCTATGAGTTTTCAGTATTATCTTCGTCTGAGATACTCCCCCCCTCGCGACTGACACACACCTGAGTGCTAACTCGATCGCTCGATAATTCGAGTATCATTGTCGTAGCTAATCGCGACAAGAGTATCGTAATGTATTAAAGATGATGCACGCTCGTTGACGTGACTAACGTGAGGAAAATGGAAGCGCATAATGTTCGTGACGCTATTAACAACGAAAATGGAGTAGCACATCGTTGGTTGTAAAGTCAAAATTAATTAGTAGCACGTAATATGTCTATTTATATCGTTGTAAGAAATAAAAATATATGCAAACTATCTTCTTGAATGTCAAATAAGCTCGTTTTCTATTAAAAAATTATTGAAATATATTATTTGAATTATATATATATACATATTAAACATCAATCATAATTTTCTTGTTATGCAATTTAATTTACATCAACAATTAATGTTGAATTCTTTAGATATGTATTAAAAGTTCAATATTTATATGCGAATAAATATAACGTTTTAATGCAGGCATTAGCTTTTAAAAATATTATTAAATATTCTTGTATTTAGTTAAAATAATTTATGTAAAATTAATTTAAAAAATAATTAATTAATACAAAGATAAAATTATAAAATGTTGATGTTATATATAGATATTTTCAGAAATGCATTTGTAATATATTTGTTATACATAGAATATATTAATAAATGACATATGTATATATATTAAATTACATGTTACAAAACTCATATTGACTTTTATAATATATAAAACTAATTGAATAGAGATTATCTCCATGTTTAAAAATTGAAATATAAATTCATAAACATTAATTTTATATCATTCAAAGATGCATAACGTAATATATTTACGAAAAATCTTTCCTCAATGGTAAAAGTCGACCAAAACTGGCAATTATTTATTATAAATAATTAATTAAAATACAACGTTTCGGCTGTCATTGCAGCCCTTTTCAAGTAAATCTATAAAAAGTTACATAAAAATAATTATAATTTTAATACATTTCAATACAAATAATTATAAATTCATATACAAAAATATGTTACATACCAAACGTAAATGCATAATAAATTAATACAATAAATCAAATTCACTGCATACCACCGACAATATTCACCATTGTTTTAATAAACAATGTAGAATTGACAGAAGTAAGCAAGAAATAAATAGATGTTAACAGTTAGCAAGAATCTTAGTCACTACGCGTTAAGAAAATCGAGACAAAACTAATGTGTCTTTCGCAATCTAAACCCTCATAACAAAGTCAAATAAATAAATAAATAGGTAAAAATAAAAATAATTTAAATAACGTCAAAAACACAATCATAAATCCCACTAAAATTCTCCGTATCTTTCTGTAAATTAATGCCTTTACGTTGTTTTTTTATATAAAACATTTCTGCAATTTCTCTTTTTCTTGTTTGTTTTTCTTGATGCAAGATCACCGGAGAATCCTAACAAAACTCATGATCATTGCAAGTCCGATGCAAACTAACGACTGAATGCAATGTAGAATCTTTTTTGATATTATTTCTATGTTCTTTAATGCGCGTTTCTAAATGTCTCTTTGTCTGTCCAATATACGTAGAATCACAATTCGCACATTCAATTTTATACACGACATCGGTCTTTTTTAAGTTGTCTATCCTATCTTTTCCTCTTTTTATCAGTGTGTCTAAGTTTTTTGGAACGGTATATACTACATCAATTCCATTTTTATTAATGCAACGCGTAATATTCTCGCTCAAATCTCTAATGTAAGGCAACACCATACAATTTCGCGCATCAAATTTATTTCGGTTCAATGAGCTAAGATTACCGCCAAATTTAATTGCCCTACGTCTTTTCTTAATATTTTTGTTTATAACCGTTAAAGGGTAACAATTATTACGAAGAATTCTTCTGACTATATTAATATTTTCTTCGTGAAACATAGGGTCAACGAGTAAAATAGCCCTATCCACTAGGCTTGTGATCACACTGAGTTTATATCTCATTGGGTGATTCGATAGAAAATGTATATATCGACCTGAAAACGTAGGTTTACGGAACCAATTAGTCGTTAATCTGCCACCAATACGTATAACATTCGTGTCCAAAAAACTCAGAGAACAATTGTTCTCTAGTTCAGATGTAAATTTAAGTCGAGTGTGAAAACCATTGAAAATCCTAAGCATATCCTTCATTTTTCCTTTCGGAATAATTGAAAAAATATCATCGACGTACCTAAAATAACAAGAGGGTTCAAAATCCAATTGATGCAAACAATATGATTCCAAATCGTCTATAACCATGTCGGACAAAATTGGAGACAAAGGAGATTCTCCTATAGGGATCTCCTATAGGAGAACCGAAAACCTGTTTGTAAAATTTACCGTCAAAAACGAAACTAGTTGAACGCATAACAGTGTCGATGGCGTGTACAAACTGCGCAAGGTTAAACGAAGTAAATTGTGAGATGTCATCCCATCGGTTTTCTATTGCTATCTTAATTAATTTCCACGGAGTGTTGGTAAAAAGTGAAGTCACGTCCAACGAAATCATAACCTGACTATCGTCAATGTTTTTATCTTTAATAATTTCCACAAAGGACCAACTATCCTTGATATGAGATCGAGGTTTCTTGACTGCATTTTGCAGTATCTCACTCAAAAAGGTTGCAATGTTATAAACAGGACTTCCTACCGTTGAAATTATGATACGGAGAGGGTAACCTGCTTTATGGATCTTTGGTAAACCATAGCTCCGAGGCAAATTACCATTCGTACACCTCAAATGTTTGTATGTGGTCCATCTATGAGTTTATTGTCTAACCAAGATTTTAACAAAGAAGTAATTCTTGCGTTCAATGCATTTAGTGGAGTCTTATTAAGTAATCTATAAGTGGAAACGTCTTTCAATAAATTATTCATTTTCTCCACATAGTCTGTCCGACTCATCAACACCGTAACCTGGTCCTTATCTGCTTTTGTTACAAAAATATTTTTGTTTAATTTCAAAAATTTTGACGTTGTATTTTAATTAATTATTTATAATAAATGATTGCTAGTTTTGGTCGACTTTTACCATTAAGGAAAGATTTTTATTAATTATTACTGGCGAACCTTAAGAATTATTATATGATTTATGAAAAAGTATTTGTATGAATTTCATATTTCTTTCATAATTTCACAATATTCTACATTATATAACAGTTTAATTATTCGCATATATTTTTAATTCTTACACTCTGTTTTACGATTCTAATCTATATTTCGATCTAAACCGACTTTTCCTTTTTTTCAGCTGAGATTGTTTTGTCTATACGCACTTTTCCTCGCGATTTAAATTCTCGCAAGATGATGCATCGCTATACTAATTTCCAATTTCCCTCGAAATGATCGCGCGCAAATCGACTCACCGGAGTTGTGTACGGTTGACAGGCTAGCCTGATGCCGTCGTGCCTCAGCTTCTCCTGCAGCAGCATCCTGAGCTGCATCCTGGGGATTCTCACCAGTTCGGCCTTGCCTTCCTCGTACTCGTCCGCGAACTTGGTCAACTCCTGTCCGCCGCTGGAGGAGCTCGCCGTGGGCGACGCGCGTTGCGCGTCCTTGTCGCTGGGTGGCCTCTCGGACGACGTCCTCGAGGACTTGGAGCTGATGTTGTCGCAGTTGCTGTCGATCGTCTCCTCCAGCGTAAAGTACACACTCGCGGCCCCTCCTCGCGGAGGGTCTTCACCGACTGCAGCAACCGGGCGCGGTGCTTCTGATTGAAGACGCCGATCGCGTCGAGGTCCGGATCGCCGATCTGCTTGCAGATCTCAAGGTCGTCGTAGCCATTGTCGATGAACGACTCCGAGTATTGGCCGAGGTGGAGCGAGCGCAGCCACTCGACCACGATGTTACTCGCCATCGTCATCTTTGTCTCGCGTGCGTTCCTTTAAATCCGCGCGTTTCTGGCTCCTCTTCTATTCCTTTCCGCCGCGGTAGGGCCTCTCTTCCTCCCTCGCGCGACGATCCTGCGTGAGCGTCTCCTTTATCCGCTGTACTTTTTGGCGGCTACCATCACCTCGCGAGGTCGTCTTCCAGACGACACAAGGTCGTCCATCGAGGATCGTCGAAGCTCGATTCGGTCGAATCAGCGTGTAGAAATCGTATCCGTTCTCACGTTTCAACGTGACATTCTCTTCTCTCTTGCACAATCGGCCACGGTACTAACGAGGGTCGTCTCTCGTCTCTCGGCGACCGACGACTTTGGAACAGCTGGGAGAGAGGAGGAGTCACGTTTGCTGCTTGACATCTACCGCTCTTCGAACCATTATTCGAGACCTTCGAATATTGCTACTTTCTCGCTTTCTCTCTCTCCTTATTGCCGAGTTTTTGTACTCCCGTCCGCACTTCCCGGAGAAAAACGCGAAGACGATGCACCGAAGCTCAAAACGTCGAGATTCGGAGCGAATTTCGACGGATTTAATTTCGGCTCTTTATTTAATGCACGCACGTATCTATATATTTTTTTTCTTCGTGCTTTTCACTCGATAATACAATTTTTGCCGCGTAAATCGGGAATTTCGGCACTTGATTCAAATAATTTCACTTCACCGTGACGAATCATGTGTCACCGAAATCGCGAAATTAATGATCGAAAATACGCTATTATAATTTTCACACCGCGAGAGTCGTTTTTCGCGCACTAGGTGATCAACTGAAACATACCGGCAGTCTCGTCCAGCATTCCAAGAAGCTCGAGAGATCCAGACAAGGACAAATCTAGTCCGGTAGTTGGGGAAAATCCGGTTGTCGTATCCGCAGTTTTTCAACGGAAGACGATTATAGATCACGTGAGATCTTCGTGACGACGGACGAGCCGAAGGGCTCTGTTTCCGTTGAAAGCAGGAAACTTTGTAACGTCGAAATGAAATGACCCGCGCACCGGTTGCTCGCTTTCTACACCTAGAGCGAGTTTGAAAAATTCACACTGTCTCACTCGCAGTTGCATTCACTCGGTACACATTTTCGACGAGTCTCCGCGCTCGAGTTACTCGTCCTTGATTAACGTATACACACTAAACAAAACGACACGGTACACGCGACGAAGAGCAGAATCCAGCGCGATTTATTCACCGATGATCTTCGAAATCGACACTTTTTTCGCGGGTCGCCGAAGATTTGATCTCTGCTCGTTCAAAATGAAAAAAAAAAAAGTAGCCGACGTTCTCCAGAGAATCCGCGTGCAGTCACTCGCGACGACGGTCACGGTCGGCTATTCCACGCGTTGAAGTTTCCCCCTTTTATATACGGACTTGCGAACGGAACCGGCACACGAATTCGGGAACGAGACGCATACCCGGCCGGCGCGGCGCGGCAATTTCGTGGGGTCTCGACAAGGCGACAACGAACGACAAGCAAGGTTCGTTGGCAGCCCTGAGCGCGCGCGGCTTCTCCGATCGGCCGGCGTGAGAAAATCGGCGGGAAGAGGACGACGACGGTGACAACGACAGGGAGAACGTGGCCGGAGACGATCTTCGCAACGAGCGCGCGTCGCTCATAGTCAGAACGAGGAAGACGTCATCGTCGATGCTCGATGAGACACGCGAAACCGGGCACTACCGCACGACACTAACGCGACGCGACACTCCGCTCGACTGACACGAGACGCACACCAGAGGGAGCCCCGCTCGACTGCGCTCTTCACGAGCCGTCCCCACCGCCGCGAGTCTCAAGCTCCCCCACCGCAAAACGACTCAATCCCCCTCCACTCGCTCCAGTCGTTCGTGCGACGTGCCGACGAGAGTATCGCCAACGCGCCGCTACGTCAGGATGCAACAGCCGTCGGTCCTGTCCTGTGGGAAGCTTCTTCGCTCATCACAAATCTTCTCCGGCGTAATTTGACACTTGGCTGGAGAGAATTTTCAGGTTTTCCTTAAATCCTAATTGTAAAAAGGAGAGGGAGGGAGAACGAAATATGTATATTCAAGTTTCTATCTCACTCTTCTGGATTCGATGTTCAATTATATTTAATAATAATGTTGGGTAGCGGGTGGTCGTGCACGCTGCGTCGCCGAAACTCGCCTGAGGCGAAGAGTAGGCGTAACGCGGGTTCGAATCTACCCAGAGTCCAGCAGAAAAAGATATAGACATCTCTAGGGTCCACATTCATGGAACCAGATGAGCTGTATAATCAAAAGGATAAAACAAACCTGTGCAATCTGGCGAAAAACGCCGGATTGAGTTTTACAGGGATAATCCTCAAGCACAGCGGAGTGTCGCAAAGGAACTTTTAGATCTAGGTGATCTTTAGGGACTTATATACATATAGTCCCACCTGCTCTTCTTACTACTACTACTACTAATAATAATGTTACAATCTTTATTGGAAATATATTTAGGAATAATATATGTATAGGTAATTGTATATATTATATGTATTGTATTTAGAAATAACAGAGATATATATTTCTTAATTAGTTTAATAATAATATTACAATCTTTATTCGAAATATATTTGGGGATAACATAATTGTATGTATTGTATATAATATTTAGGAATAACAGAGAAATTTCTTAATATATAATAGTTCAATAATAATATTACAATCTTTATTCGAAATATATTTGGGGATAACATAATTGTATGTAATGTATATAATATTTAGGAATAACAGGGAAATTTCTTATAGTTTAATAATAATATTATAATCTTTATTGGAAATATTTTGAGATAATATATAATTGTATATATATATTAGGTCCTTGAATAAGTTCTCGCTGTTTCTTAAAAGATGGCACTCGTAGCGGCACTCTGTGCATGGAATTTCGTACGGAAACGCATCAGCTAAGTAGTACTATATGTAACCTCAAATTCTAGTAGATACAGTTTACCACAGTGTCAACCACGTGTTTAATTACCTATTGCAAAAATGTCTACTTTTGTGCCAAATAAAGTGTTTTTGCGGGGAATTTTATTGCACTGCTTTATTCAAAAGAAATCTGCAGCTGAAGCACACAGAATTCTTGTTGAAACATATGGTGACAATGCTCTGTCGAATACGACATGCAGAGACTGGTTTAGGCGCTTTAAAAATAATGACTTTGACCTTGAAGATAAAGAACGTTCTGGAGCACCGACAAAGTTTGAAGACGAAGAATTGGAGGCATTGCTGTGTGGTCTCTAATGATGGACAATACTTTGAGTAAAGTTATTGTAAGCCTTATATTTTAAATAAATGTTTTTTTTAACAAAAAAAACAGCGAGAACTTATTCAAGGACCTAATAATATATTTAGGAATAACAGGAGAAGATTCCTTTATTGGGAACATATTTGAAAAAAATAATTATTTAGGAATAATAATAGAGAATATTTCATTTTTAAATATTTTTGACATTTTAAAAGGTTTTTATAGTAAGTTTTTTTACATGTACAGTATTACAACTTTTAACATATTAAAATACGTTAATAACTAAATTTTCTTTTATACGAGAATTTGTTAAAAATATTGAATTTTATTATAGATTTCAATTTCGACTTTCGTCAAGTATAAGAATCATATTAGGGATCATATTTTAACATAGATTGCAGCAAAATTCTTATCTCAATCAGTTTCCGTATTAAACCGGTAACGTTTCACGTGAATTTACAATGAAGGAAAGAAGTGGAATATTGGTTTCCCCATAACGTTCGTGTTGCGTGATCGTACAGAAGGCACTACGGTTGTTGAAGGAGAGTTAGTATCGATGATTATCTGAGAGAATCGTAATCAGTGCCTTTGTCAGAATTGTGGCATTTATAAATGTGCGCCTAACGGCAATAGTACGACGCTTGTGACCCATGAGGCAAATAATCTGCAACTTGCTGCCACTCAAATGGCCAGCACGCCAGCTCTATATGCTATTATATTACGCTCGAACGAAACTGAACTGCATTGGGTAAATGCGATAGAAGTGATGATAGTTCGAGGGTCACTTGGATAGCCACTTCTTTCCCTTCTTTCAGGCAAGAATCGAGTATCCACGCAGGGCAGAACTTCCCTTAAAATCAATGATGTAAGGCGATCGTGGATGCACATCAGATAATACAAAAGATACTAATTTTTCATTATATAGAGAGAAGAAGAATAAGAATCAATTAAATAATTCTTTAAAAATAAAAAAATAATTGAAAATATTCATATATTTCTAAATCAAAATTTCATGTATTTTATCTTTTATATAGATATAGTAAAATTTTATATATAGTAGGATAATAAGATATAATTTTTAAACTAATTAAACAACGCAAAATAAAATAAATTCTTGATAATTTTTTGATTAATTCTATAAATGTTATTTATTCCGAATTATTTATACCAAAAAAGTTAAACCTTTTGTCGAGAATAATTTTAAAATTATATGTTATAAAAATATGTTTCTTGACATAACGTGTATGCACGTAGTATGCTCTTTTCATTTTTTCTTTCTTTTACAATATAATATTATAATGATATTCATGTACTATATATACGGTTATTATTGAATGATAAAATAAATAACACAGATAAATTGAATAACAGATACACGGAGAGAATTTTCTCTTAGAATTTACTCTGAAAAATCATGGTAATCGTGGGGCAATATGGTATTGGAAGAATTTTATGAGAATTTCTCTGATTAAATATTTACCACAATAAAAAGTGCAAATATATACATAGTAAAATTAATCAAACATATTTTAAATCTTATTGTAGTAGATATTAATATTCTTTATTGTGGTAAATATCAATTAGAGAAATTCTTATAAACAATCAATATAGTAAAAGAGGCCAGCATAACGAGCACCAAATAAAATGTTAGAATCAGAGATTTATTTAATATATTCAGCAAGTATTGTCAAACCGAAAAAATATCAATAGAATCGGATAAACCGTAAATTTACAAAATCTTACATAAAAGAATTAGACGTTTCTTATAAAATTCTTATAAAATTCTTCCATATTAAAATAGCATGTTGTCCCACACTTACCATAATTTTCAGGGTAAGAGAAAATTTTCTCTGTATGTTATTATTTATATAATTTTATATTGATATAACTAAATTTGTAATGATTTAAATTACTGGTACATTCTAAAATACCTGTCGCATTCGCTTTTTTAAAAATGTGAACACGAAAACCTATAGCGCGCACTATCACGTAAAATCTCTATTAAATGACAATGCTAGTCGTGCGGAGCTTGTGCGAACGATGATCGCCGATATATGCGTGAGGTCCGAATTAATTGAATGATCGGCATGGACGTACCCGTCCTGCTATGACGGTAAAGCAGGGAGTGACAAGTAGCTCTCAATAACGTGATATGACATCGCGTGTCGTGGACAGGAAGGACCCTTTCAATGCAACCCTCGCTATTTCCTCGCTTTGGTCGAGTAATTTGCTTTTGGAGCAGAGGGATGAGATCGGAAGACGAGTCACCTGTCAATATATTAACTCGTTTCCGCAATACCGCGAATTATTATGAAGCGGTGAAATAAAGCTTTTATAGTGCTCTAATTGCTTCATACACGTTCCAAATATTTATAATCATATGTAACAAATTTTAGCGATATTCGAATATCTCTGATTTTACGGGACTAACTATATTATGAAGATCTCCCTTTGAGTTCGTTATTGAAGTCAAATGACATGATGGACTCCATTAAAATATTCTACATCAACGAAATTTTGCGGATACATTATCGTAACTCAACAGACATTTTAATCACGGTCCGGATAGCATACTCGTACGCATATTTGCGAAAATATTTATGGAGAAGCCTAAAATTGTATACGACGCATCAAATTGCAGTAACGTTATTTTACATACATTTGCGACTGATGTTTTTTTTATACGAATTTTTTAAATGTATGAATAAAAGCTCGCATATCTATGTAAATAATATATAAATCAAATTATTGCGTTAATCATTAACAGATCATTAATTTTACAAATGAGGTAGATGGAGAAAATTAGTATTCCGACGATTGTCTGCTAAATATGATAAAGCATGACTTGTAAGAAAACGGTTATGGCAGAACAGGATAAACATAGGGTTCTGCCAGATTCTGGTTAGGTACTCGACTTATCTTTAATCGGGATGTCAACAAGACACGACGCTAGCAAAAATTTGTTGACAATAATAATAATAATTAGTAATCGCATATTAAATAGATGATGGTCAATGACAATAATTAATAGAAGCAATAATAAAAAGAAGGCAGAATATTTGTGTTAGAATTTGTTGCTAAAATCTCATAAAAAATAATTTGAATAGCGTGCCCTTGCACGCTAATTTATTCTTCGACTTATGCTTATACAGAACGAAGAGTAGTATATCATTTCCATGTCTTTCGCCAGCATAATGTTTTATATTTATATAACGATATATATTCTAATCGATACTTCGATTGGGACGCTTAATCCTATAACTTTCATACGGATGTCGTTTCATTGTTTATGATTCTAGCGACGACATGTTTACGGTATATTTTACCGTTTCAAAACAACCAATAAAACTTGTACACCCTGTTCGCCACGCGCGACAAGCTTGTCGATGGTTGACTGAGAATAGCCTGCGAGACTGCAACCAGAAGTGCGGCTTCGCGCCGTCATTGCAGCCGTGCAATGACTGTGATCAGCTATATCTGAGGTCGATGTCATGATAAAAAGGTAGCCTCGGCGGGTTGCCAGGGTCGGCTAGTTCAAAAATATCGACATTAACTGCCGATTCGTTTGACTGGGGGACCGAGGAAGGGAATGCCACGTTCGATGTTATGAAATGGCGATCGTAAATAGCGAGTTCGCGTCCCAAGCATAAAACCCGAACGAACCAACCGAGTTTAAGGCAGAGATAGCCATTTAGAAAAAAAAAACAGCAGTACACATGACTTTATAAGCATTATGCGCATATATCAAGCACGTTAACTGCCGATATAAAAGCCAAGGGAAAAGATTCTGACATATGGAATACGTGCCAGTCCTCTACGTGACCCGGGTAGATAGTGTTACGTTAGTGCAATTAAATAGACGACATTTGTCTCGTGTGTCAAGATGATTCCCTGCCGCTAGACGAATCATTTTCATTTCGTGTCATTAACACTTTACGGTGCGCGACTTGCTGATTCAGATTGCCGACGGTATTGTGGCAACAATTTTTCGACTTCGTTCTGCTACATTACACGACTCGAGTCCCGAATCCCGGCCCAAGGCGCGATTTATCGTCTCGCCAATATTTCAGCCAAAAAAGAGCGCGGTACCGCGTCTGCGAATCCGGGGAACCGATGTTTTTCCTTGCCTTTCCTCGAATAATTTCGTGACATTTATTGTTCGTGACTGCGAACGCTCATAAACAGCGAATACGAAGCCTTATTTCGTATATCTAAAAGTTTGCTATAAAGCATAGCTCATGAAAAGAATTCCGCGCTCTAGGATATGTTTAATGATGGATCGTAAAGGGCGGGCAATAAATGATAATGATAGCGGATTGTTCTATGGAAACGTTACTTGCTGCAAATATCCTGGCAACACGAGACTAATTTCTGTTTTTTCCCCCAGTGCGCCTTACGTAACACGAGAGGGGGTGCTGCGAGAGATGCCTCGGAATCTGCGTAATTAAGCGAGGGTCTCGCGAATAAATTTACATCGTCTGTAAATCCTTCACATTAGATAAATGCTTACAATTAGCTACGCTCCTGCTGCGCTCCGCACGTTTCGAATTCGCGAAGGATATTTTGTTTTGGTGATTAAATAATGTTTCACAAATGTTTTATATATATATTGCATCGAAGAACGTCTTTGTACTATTAACAATATATTTCTGCATGATATCTATTAATTATTACTTAAATCATTATACGCGTATATGCGAGCATTATAAATCTATGGCAATCAACAAACTCTACGTAAATTAAATCACTCAATATTCAACTGTCGCTATATACAAATTTTTCGTGAAATATTTGTGCAAAATATCTTCCACATTAACATCAAAGACGAGGACAACTTTTCAAACTTACAAAATCAATCAAAATATATGTTTCATTATTTATTGAAAAATTATATAGGATTTATATATCTAAATGTTTTAAGTATAAAAGAGTTAAAGTGTCATGAATAATATATTAATAAAATTATATGAATTTTAATAATGTTTCGTATTTTTTTGCAATTTTTATCTTTATGTGATTCAAACCGCTACTTTTTTGAAAATAGTAAGAAATGGACTTTGGAATGATATCAGCCACGGCGGTTTAACGACACCGTATAACCCTGGCCGTAGAGGTAGAAGGAATGCACTTCATTTCTGGACGGAGTGCATAAACGACCGTTCTTGTACCTGGAAAAGCTCGGGTTAATTCAGAGGCCCGGCGAAAGTCGTAAAATAGTGCGTGACTACCGGTCTTTCTGCGAGGAAAGGAGAGGATGCTCATACGTATATACCTAAGTACATGCTGGTGTATTTGTGGAGTGTGTGAACCTTTCTAGGGGAACCTGCATATATCGATGTGTGTACTGCAATATCTGTATATGTTCAAATATATAGAATGTCTCAAAGTTACATATTTTAATTTATAATATTTTTTTACTTTATTTAAAGACTACCCTTTAATTATATAATTTGTGTTTCTCTCTCAATATAATTCAATTTTATTATTAAATATTTCAGTTAACAAATTTTATATTTAAATTCTAATAAGTAGAATTCTTTTAAAATTAAGAACAATATTTTGTCAGCTATTTATATATATTATGCTTAGGTTTTAATTTGCTAAAATCTTTTAATTTTTAATAAAAATTTAGAACTTAAAAATTATTTATCTATTTCTGTATAAGCATGCATGTGCGTGTATATATATGTGTAAATTTATATATGGTAATTTTGAGACGCCTATATCTATAAGTCTAATAGCTTATCGTGGATTTGGAGGGTAGAATTCTACCGTGAGCACGTACATTTTCTATGATTACAGTTATATCATTACGAAGATGATGGTAGACAACTGAAAAAGCACATAACTATTTAGTTTTTTTATGCAAAACGCAACTTACTAAACAGTGTCAATAAAATGTTATATTTTGTATACATATTTAATACATTTTTACAGTGGCTCAATTAAAAATTTTATAAGTGTGATTTGTCAAAAAGAAAAAATAAAGAAAAAAGCAAAAAAAAATATGAGAGCAAAAGCAATTATGTTTCATTTTATTAATATCACACTGAATAAGCATCAATATTTTCTATCAATTATTTCATCTTTTCACAATATTTTTTTTTAAAAATGATCCAGACGTGTAAGCAAGCTAGAAAGGACGAATCGCATATTCGAGTAGAGACCTGAGATCACAGCCGGAGGCGGTACGAAACGGTTATGTGGTTGTCGAGTCTGCTAAAGCACAAGGTCAAAGTTTCGGCAATTTGGGATGCGATGCGGGTAAGGAGGTAGCAACTTTAATCACTTTCGAATCGGAGTAAATCTACTCGCGTATCTCGAACCCGCAGGATCATGTGGCGTGTAGTTATTGCTTTACTTTAGAGAAAATTCAAATATAAGAGTATCATATTATGGAAGAAATAATCAATGATAGTTATAAATTAACAAATCAGATAATTCACATTTATTTGTTTGCATATACATATACATAAAACACACAATATACAATGATATATTATATTTGAATTTATTTATAATTATATATGTAATTATAATTATATTTAATATTTAATTATAATTATTTGTATAATATGCGGAGTTTTTTTTGTTTATTAATGAAGAAACGAATAAAAAACGAATAAGAATTTACAAATAATTAATCATATCATTCTATTTAGAATGAAAGTCAACTGTAAACTATAAACTATCAAAAATATTAGCAATCTTTTTTAGCTTATGTCCCGAATTATCATAAATTACCATAGAAAGTATCAAATATAGATTCTCATCTTTATCGCGCGCTTTACATAATTATTTATCTTTTCGGCACTTTACTTAACAGCTTAACACGTTCTTAAAATGTATTACTCTCTCTTTCCCTTGTCATCGTCGAAAAAATGCGAAAGTAAATACTGATGATATATGTATACTTCAATCTCTTTCGTTTTGCGGTTTTAAACGGAATTTTTAATTGGAATCATAATTTCGCGTTGTGTCCAATCTAAATAGCGAAATGCAAGATATGGGTGTGACTCGGGCCGTGTATATTATATGTTCTGAGATTTCGAAAATGATAGATGCATGATGTCGCCCGTAACAAATTTCTTTGAATATCTAGCTTAAAAATTTTGATTTCTCGGTACTGGATATGAGTACCCCTCTTCGGATTGCTGGCTCAAGTTAAGTTCTGGACCCGATAAACTCACGAAACTAGTGGATTGATCATTACCGTTCCCATTGCTAGTTATGGAAAATTCGGGGTCGTATTCGCCACCTACTATAGGTCTTGCTCCACTCACTGGTCCAATCTGGATGGGACCAGCTGGTTGAACGGTGATTTGACCGGTTGGTCGCGTCCCGTGCGTGGATTGAAGCAATGGTTCGGGAAGACCCACATTAAAGTTTTCGCCGCGTTTTGGGGTGGGGGTGTCAGGTGGTGGGACCGGATAAGGTACCGCAACTGGAAAAGGACGCCTCACTTCGACGGGTATGGGTTGCGGTACCGGTACAGGGACATTGCGAATGATTGGAATAGGTTGAGGCACGGGAACTGGCACTGAAACCTCGCGATCCACAATGATCCCCGAAACATGCTCCACGGATCCATATCTTCCAGACGTCACGGGTTGAGAATTTAATACGGGAAGAGGCGCATTAACATTGAGTTTTGCTTTAATGGTGTCAGGTGGTGGGACCTGATAAGGTACCGAAGGGACATTGCGAGTGATTTGAATAGGTTGAGGCACGGGAAGAGGCGCAACATCTTTTAGTGGCTTTACGAAGTCAGGTGGTGGGACCTGATAAGGTACCGGAACTGCAACAGGATGCCTCACTTCGACAGGTATGAGTTGTGGTACTGGTACGGGGACATTGCGAGTGATTTGAATAGGTTGAGGCACGGGAACTGGCACTGGTACCACGCGATTTACAATGGTCTTGTGAATATGGTGCACGGGTCCATGTCCCTCACCAATTCCAAAATTTGGTGTGTATAGTCCATTGCTTCCCCCGACTCCTACACCAGGACCGATTCCTACACCAATTCCGTTTCCATGTCCATATCCGGGCCCATATCCAGGCCTATATCCGGACCCATATCCAGGCCTATATCCGGACTCATATCCAGGCCTATATCCAGACCCATATCCAGGCCTATATCCAGATCCATATCCGGGTCCATATCCAGATCCATATCCAGGTCCATATCCGGGCGCATATCCAACCCCATTTCCGGGCGCATATCCAGCTCCATGTCCGGGCGCATATCCAACCCCATGTCCGGGCGCATATCCAACTCCATTTCCGGGCGTATATCCAGCTCCATGTCCGGGCGCATATCCAGGCCCATGTCCGGGTGCGTATCCAGGTCCATGTCCGGGGGCATATCCAGGCCCATATCCAGGCCTATGTCCATTCCCATATCCGTGATCTTGCAACACTAGTTCGCTGTGACCATTGCTTGGTACGAAACCTCCCTGCAGAATATGTTTATTCTCCGATATATATGCATCACAAGCAATGGTGCAGATAATCAGCAAAGAAATCTGTGAAAAACAATGGTTTGCAATTAATATTTAGGAAGATATCAAAACAAAAAATTAATTTTACGAAATTTCATTTTAAAAGAAAATTAATTAATAGATATATTATTGCAGAGATTTATTTAATATTTTTTCCATTACATTAAGAGATAAATATAGAAATATTGCATATTATTTATCGCTCTATGTGACTTACGGAAAGCGCTTATTCAAGCATATATTTATATATTTGAGATAAATTTGCTACTAGTAAAAGATTAATTAAGAAGATTAAAAAATAAACAAGATGTAATATATAAGTAAATAAAAATGTATGATTAATTATGTTATAATGTATTTATTAACGAGAAATGATTGAACAAGATAAACTGTTTTTTTTATTTGATATTATATTGATTCTTGTTATAAACAAACACTAAAATTTTATCAGAAAGAAATATTTTTATCGGCTCTCAATATTAAGAATATAAATATGATGTTTTCTAAATCGGCCAACAGAGCCAAAGCACGAAAAATTAATTATTCGGAACTGTATCTCTTGGTTTGAGATCACTTTTTCGCGCCTATTTCTCTATATGTAAGTTTCGAGATTAATTTATATATGGAACTTAGTGATCTCAAACTAAGAGATACAGTTTCGAATAACTAATTTTTCGTGCTTTGGCTCTGTTGGCCGATTTAGAAAACATCATATTTATATACTAAAATTTTATTCTATTATAATAAATTCGTGTTTATATATATATATATATATATATATATATGTTTAAAATTAAAAAAATTAGACGAAAAGAATTTTCTAAACACTACTCACTAGGGACGTCCTCATGGTGAACGTGCTATGAGAAGATGATTCTGAATGTGCTTCATATCATCGATTCGTCCGTTTTTATACGGTGATGCCAGACGACACTTTACTTTCACTAGATATCCACTGCAACACGCCCATAATCTGGACCCATCACGTTCTAAAACTTCTAAACTTCCTCAGTTATGTAACTGACCACATAGCTCAAATGTCGAGGATTGAATGAATAAGAAGAATATTTATTATTTATAAATGATTTTGACAATCTTCGCGCACGCTCTTCGTCAAATCATATATATTTGTTATCTCGATCAATTTAAATTTTTATTAGCGTATTTATGAATTTAACTTTATAAATAATTTATATTTATATAATACAAACAAAAATCAAGAACGAACAAATTTTTTCTCTGTAAAAAAAATCAGATTTTTACACATACGTGTAAGCTACAAATTACTGCTTTCATCTGTTTACATGATATAAGTGAAAAGATTTATTGTCTCCATTGTGTTGGTTATCATAGCAAGTTTTGTTAATTGGATGACACTTGTAGGATTGCTATCATCAACAATATTTTTTCTGGAAATGTCATTTCCACGTAATACGATTGTTTTCAATGTCCACCATACAACAATACATATTTACAGAACGCAAATATGTTTCACAGTTATATGCGCCAGATTATAAAATCTTATCGATTATTACATTTTCAATAGAAGAGAAATCGTATGCATTGAGAATTTGAAAAATTGATAAAGTTTATGTATTTCTTCAAACATAATAAGTTTAATCGGGAAGGTTGCCAATCAAATTGTATATATTTATTTATTTTGTCTTTACACCACATATGCGTCATAATTAATAAATGTATGATATAATATCATTAAAGAATTGCAGCGTAAATTGTGCCTGCTCTTTATTATGTCGAAAATAAAGAGATACATTTTTTGCTGGGTAAACTTCTTTTAAAACGATACACATGTGGAACAATAATGAGTACAGGAGACGCCTTACTTAATATTATAACAGCCACCTACATTAATACCTTTCTCTAGTCTCTTTATTTGTCGCGGTCAACCGGTAATTGCCCTTTTACTTACAGTTCAGACGTCGTAGTGCGCTAGCCTGGAGCGATAAATCGGTAACCATACGGCGACAATTAGCAACGTCTCGTTGAGCGCGTTGTGAGAACCGCGCGCCGTTTCACAGTCGTAATCCTAATTTCCTTACTTGAGAATTAATTGGACTCACCGCATAACGATCCAATATTCCTATGAAGTATACATAGTTCAGACATAAATGAGTATTATTTTACAACATTGTCTGTATTTTAAATTATTTTTATGCATTTTCTCTTTTAGAGATATAAAATGTAAATTTGTCGCACACACAATGCGAGTCATTTTATTAAAATATCCAATTCTTCAGAATTTTTTTTACAGTAGAAAATAAAATTTTAATGAAATTATAGTAATTTTAAGCAGATAATGCTAGTTTAATATTATATATGTATATAAATGTAATTTTATATGTATATTGTATAGATAAGTCTATTAATTAAAATAATTTAATATAAAAGAAGATATTACATGTGCAATTAATTAATAAACACAGTAAAAACAGTATCCTTGAAAGAATGCATATATGCCTTGATTCAAGTATATTTTATCCTTATAATAGCGCCAAATATAAATAATTTTGGATAATTTATCCTTAAAACAAAGTGCAAAATATTCTTGGTTGAAGCTGAAATTTACTTATAAATATTGCAAGGACAAGTGACAAGTGAGCATCGGATATAAGCGGTACTTTCAAGTATATATAATAATTCTTAATTCAAATGTGATTAAGTTTGTTTTTACCATATGCGATTTTTAAAACAAGAATATATCTTAAAGATAAAATATACTTTACACTTATTTATTATTAAGGCAAATGAAAATTTGTGATTATAAAGAGCATTCTATGCTTAAATCAATCAAATAGCGTTCAAGAATAAAAATATACTTGAATCAAGGATTCCTTTTTTTCTGTGTATAAATCAGATAGACCATTGCATTTGAACGATAAATGCACATTTTGCAGTTAGCCAAACGCCTTCTTGTAATTAGTAATTTCCGTAGAATTTTCACTAAGAGTCCCCTGCTAATAGGCGCTGTGCCGCCAAGATTTATCCACGTCATCCTTTTTATTCGGGTATTCGCGAGCAAGCTGCCGAGAAAAAGAGCAGAAAGTAAATGGAGACATATTCCTGTAGGAGCGCGTGAAGCACAGTCGATGCAGAGCGGGAGCTAATGTCAGAGATTAGAGGTAATCCGTTCTCGCTGGCAATCGTCGAGGAGGATCCTTCTCGCTCGCAACCGGCGCAGCTTCAATCTAGATACTGCAGGCACTGTCGCAGCGCCAGAAGTCTCCTTCCACCTTAACCGGGAACTGAGGGTCCTTCCGTCTCTTTTTCGCCGGTAGATACATTAGAAGGAATTACGAAAAGAGCGTTTCGAGTGACGCGAGCATTAAGACCGTGCAAGACATGGCACCAGCGGTAATTACACTAATTACGGAGTCGTTAGGTTTCTTTATAAATACTGCACCTTTCCTGCATCTTCTTCTATTTTTCTCGCAAGCGCAAGCTTTTCGAAGACGACCGCAGAAGGAATGCGCCGACAGCTTTATGGAAAATATTTTGTTTCTCTACGATTCTTACGTAGAGTCTCTATTAAGCTAAATTAATGGAAATGTCTCTGATTAAAGCAATGACATATGATTTGACCAAAGTATGAGTAAATATTTCATTAATCTTTAGTAAAAATATTAACACTTTGCTTCTTTGTCTTACACCCTTGATAACAACATAAGATTTCATTGATACGAATTATATGTATTTCAGAGATATACGTAAGTTCTTTTTTGTATTTACTATTACTATACTAAAAGTTAAAATATACATTGACACGAAACAATTTTTTAATTAATTTATAATTGACTTGAATTAAAAAAAGAAAGCTCTCTAATTTGTGATTCATTTATTAGTTATTAATATTAAAAATTCAAAAAACAACTTTCAGTTAAAGTTTAGAGCTGTCTTCACATTTTATATATAGAACATCTATGAATATATTATTTTGAGTTTAAACAAACGGAAATTTTGGTCATTGACCATTAAAGTGGATCTTTTTCATTCATATTTAATTTTGGTACACACATCGTAAACTTTCGTGTTTCTCCACTTTCACTAAACCAGTCTTCAAAGAAATCAAAAGTATGCACCTGTGTGAATTCTTCTTTTCTCTTATTAAAATTGACTGTGATATCTACTAAAAATACATGAATAATTAATATCGCTAATTAAAACGACGACTGTGTTAAATCGATTATTCATTTACGAAATTCAATGCAGTCGTAATTCAGACACGATTTCGCTTATAAAAATGTTGGCTATCCTTCAAATATTCATATTATATACATATATGTATATACAATAGAGCTGGACAGTTTGTAAATTTTGATTTTCGAAAGTCATCGTCTAATGTCCCTCCTTTACGTCTTAATACCGATGAAATTAATAAATTAAAATTGTTAGATGACTCGATCGTTGATAAGATAAACAATCGACAAGTCTCATCGGTGTCAAAATTTAAAAGGAGGACGGTAAGCGGTGACTTTCGAAACTCGATCGAAATATGCAAACTGTGTCCAGCTCTGATGTAAGAATTAAAGAGAATTGCTTATATATTTAATTTCAAGTTTAGGTGATAATTTTAACAGAATTATAGAATCGAGCTATAAAGTTTAAGAATAATTTTTCAAATTTCTCAAGATGTAATAAACCACTTAAAAAAAATATTGCTTGTTTTGAATAAATTTACAACAAAATTCGAATATTAAAATGCAGTATCAAAATGTGCTTATAAACACAAATATTTACTATCACATTTAATATTAACTCAATATTATAACAATGCGCCAGTAAATCAAAACGCTTATAAATTCGTCTTGTATAGAGATGCGTTCCATAAATCAGGAGTAATTACGCAAAGAAATATAGCGCAACGCTTTCGGGAGTGTCTTGACACATTTCCATTCGTCAAGAATAACGTACTTTCGTTACACGTTCAAAAGTTCGTAAACCTCTTTCGTGGATTCGTACGACGACATTGTTTTACGGCGCTCAGGGTGGTAGAGAGATGACGACGAGACGAAGAAGCGACGGGCGTCGTCGAGTGTTTAGAGCAAGTCTAGAAGAGAGAAAGTCTACGGGAACAACTCGATTTCGCACGATTGTCGAAAATAAAATTTTTCTTTGCCGAGTTTTCCGCGCGAATTCTCGAGCGTATTCTCGCGTGGTCCTGACATTCCGCGCAAATTGCAACCGCCGACAATCAAACTTATCTATTGCGTGAGATACTGTAAACATGGCGGGGAACCTCGGCAACACGTCCATTTTCATTGCACGGAGATTCGATCTCGAAAAACGATTTTCGCCGATGAATTTTTAAGTATTACGCAAGAAAAACTCACGTTCGATCGTCTTTTCTCGACGTTTGCGAATGTAATTTATATTACAATTATCTGTTTACAAAATCCTCCGCCGACATTCTCCTATATTCGAACGCAAGCTGTTTTGGCTATAAAAATCGCAAACGACTCCTCGATAGTAAAACTGAGTCGCCGAGAGGTGTAATAAAGTAAAATACTTGGCAAAGATAAACAAAAGTTATAGATTTCCTGACTGCAAATGTCCGATTTCGATACCGAAATTGTCTTTTATTCTTGCAAAACATCGATCGAATTAACAAGATTAAGAAAAAGGTACTTTCTACAGTATCATAAGTTTTTTGCAAAGTAATTTGCATTTGTATTTTTAAATCCGTCAATATATGATTTATTTTTTTTTTAACTATTATAAATTTATTTGAAAGCATCTGTATTTGTTTCATAGTATCTATTTTTTAAGCTTGAAATATAAAATGTAGGGATAGAATATTTTTAGGAAATACAATATTTAATTTTCTTCTACGTGGATAAATTGATTCGAGAGAGCATAGTATTTTA